ACCCGCCCTTGCCATCACACACTTCCGTGGAGACAGAGTACAGAACGCGCCAGCAATTAAGAACGTAACATATGGGTTGAGGCTCAATTTCTTGTTTTCGACCGACCTGCCAGCCTTTGTTGCTAAAATCTTTTCGCCGTTTCTTATTTTTTGGCCTTGCAGGATTTGCTTGCAGGATTTGCTTGTTTCTTGTGTAATGTACCGTTTGTCCCGCCGACGTTGAAGCCGTCACCCGTCTCCGTGTCTAGCGCNCCACCATCTCTCACACAGTAATTCTCGCCATGACCCAGGCACACACCTCGACGACAATCAATCGCGCAATAGAAAACGAACTGATGTGGCTTTCCCTCCACTGTGCCGTACAGTAGTGGCATTCTCCAAAAGACAAACCGCACGATNCGCCGACGTTGAAGCCGTCACCCGTCTCCGTGTCTAGCGCGGGAAGCTGCAATGGTTCTTGCGTCTCGCTGCATATGATTGTCCTTTGCTTGAAATCAAGACCTTTCCACCATCTCTCACACAATAATTCTCGCCATGACCCAGGCACACACCTCGACGACAATCAATCGCGCAATAGAAAACGAACTGATGTGGCTTTCCCTCCACTGTGCCGTACAGTAGTGGCATTCTCCAAAAGACAAACCGCACGATGTAGTTGAAAGAGAGGGACCCAACAGCCATTCCGACATTACGCCGAAAGCTCCGTGCGGCGAACATTTGGGGTTGTCGCCTCCTAGACGCCTTGATCCTTGCCTCCTCCTGCTCTACCTCCAGTACCCACGCAACAACGCCCGCGTTTGTCTGTCTTCATCAGAACTGTGAAATCAGGCCACACTTGGCCACCACGCACCACGTGCGGACCGCGCGGCACGGGGGGAGTTCGCATAAAAGCCAGCGACCCATACCCACACACCAACAAATTACACCCACAAGGGGTAATAGGGATTGTCACTGGACGTCAACGGCCGTTTCTTATTTTTCACGCTCTCTCTACTGCACTTCGTTTCTTGTGGTTTAGAGTGATCCTGCCCTCAGTTTCTTATTCGGGTGTTTCTTACTCCTTTCCCAAGATTGAGCTGTGTTTCTTAGCCGGAATTTCTCATTTTTCGCCAAAATCTGAGCTTGATTTTCCTACCTAAAAATTTTCTTACTTGCGGGCGTGTTCTGTACGTTGGACATCGACGAACATGTAAAAAAAAACGGCCTCTCCCTCTTTTCTGTGGGAAGGGGCGCACGATGAACCCTTGGACTGCTGTTCATGAACCAGCTGAAGTGCACACGCGCTTACAGAATGCACCACCTGTTTCCCGACTCTGGTGATCTGCGACGCGGATTACATCGTCACTGCCGCCTACTGCAACACCACGGGAAGCACCAACGATCGGCAGGCATACAAGGAGGCCGAGTTCGACCAGCTTGTCGAGGGTCTTCCAGGCGACTATTATGTCGTGGGAGATTCGGCTTACGGGGCAACGGACAAGATGCTTGTACCGTACCCAGGATGCGACCTCAACGCAGACCAAGACGCCTTCAACTTCTTCCAGTCGCAAGGGCGCATATGCATCAAGCAGACCTTCGGGATCATGGTGAGTGTTGGCGTGGGTATTTCGTGGGCATATCACGGGATCATGAGCCTGCTCGCGAATGGTATACACGATTGGTGACAAGCTGGGTCATGTTATTTTATTTTTAGCACGAGAACAACGGTTATTACAATGTACTTCTATATCGGTAGATATCGCACAAACATAACTGCAAAGTACAGAGGTTGGGGTTAACTTCATGCCTGAACGCCTCCCCACTCCCCGCCCTCCCCCTACATGTTGCAGATGAAGCAGTGGCTCATTCTGTGGCGCCCGCTGCAGGTACCTCTGCGCAACACCGCGAGCGTTGTGCACGCTATCACTCGGCCTCACAACTACCTCCGAAGGCGTCGTTCTGAACCGCCATCTGCCACCGCCAGGTTCTTGAATGAGGACGGAACCATCAGGAGCAACCGCTGGGCAACACCATCGTCGAGACGGCCCCCGGCGGCCTGTTCTCAGACTCGCGAGAACATCAGGGAGGACATTCGGAATAGAACTCTCATGCGGCCGNGGTGTTGAAGCTGTCAAGCAGAGAGAGAGAGAGTGGTCATTGTCCGCTACAACCCGCCAGATTTTAATTGGGTACCTAACACGGGGCACGGGAGATAAACATAGAAGTTTCCGCGGTGCAGACTCATGATAAGAAGCGAGTGTTGGGGGCACTCTTCCAAATTAATGAAATTAACGAAAAAATCGATTGTCATTTTCTTCCATGAGGCAGATGTGAGAATACCCGAAATGCTTTTTGTGCGACCTCGCTGTCTGGCGTGGTGCCTGGTTTCTCTGCCCTATTTTTTTGAGGTGGCATGTTTCCTGCTTTTATGTTTGTATGTTTCTTCCCGTTTGGTCGAGTGTGCCCCACAGGGCATTTGATGTTTGGACAAGAGAGATAAAATAAGAAACGATAAACCTCACAGAGGCCGAGAGAGCCGCGTTATTGACATCAAGGGGGTGAGCGTACTCATCTTTCACGGGTTGAGCGTACTCAACCTTCATATGATGAATGTTCACCACGCAAAATTTATTTTTTGTTCCCAGTAGTCTTTTCGAAACTAAGTGACAAAAATGAAATACCCTCCGAACCAATGTCTCTGGCCTCTGGGCTCAGCTCTCCGGCAGCCACAAACGCCTGCACATAACGCCCGATAGAGAAACTCTGGTCCCTCACTGAAAAACGAAATTCTCATGTTCCCCCGCGGAAACCGAAAGAAGAAAGACATGCTGGAGGGGTGGATCAAGCAATGCGCCCTCCACACTCAAGGAACATACGAGCAGTGCCCTACCTTCGTGCTGCACACAACGGAAAAAAAACTAGCCATACTCAGAAAAATGCATGTACCCAACCTATGCCGTGTGAATCAAACCCAAAACGACAAGACATCCTCTTCATGCGTCGTTGGAAGAAGTCGGGTTTGATTCGTCCGAAGGGCCTTCACGACAAATCGCTACGAAACTTCACTCCCTTCCTCATCTTCTTCCTCTTCCTCCGCCGCTTTCTCTGCAGCAGGCCTGGTCTTTTTGTAGATTTTGTCGTACTCCTCCTGCGCTACTGCGAGGTTTTGAGTGAGCCTTTCAATTTTTCTTTTGGACGCTCCTTCTTCTTTCGCATTTTTCAACCTCTCGTCACAGTCATCAAGGCGATCGCTGGCAGCAATCAACATACCCACGGGATTCTCGGCGTCGTTGTCCGCAATCTTGTTCATCGCCGCTGCAATGTTGTTTGATGTGGTCTTGAATGCGTCCACAAGTTGGACCAAGGTTTCTTCCGGTTTGACCTTCCCCTTCTCCCTCGCCTTCCGCGCTCGCGGCTTCCCCTTCGGAGCGGGCGGTTCATCCGAATCGCTGGAAGACTGCTCGTCTTCCATGGACAGAGTGTTGAAAGCTTCCCCATCCTCCTCGCTGAGCCTCACGCTGAAGTACCTTGCGCAGTGCTCGTTCGCGCTGTCGCCACCCCTCAGCTCGTACCAGTCCATCATGAGCAGGACGTACAGCTTCTGGTTACAGAAGGACCAGTAGTGTTCAGCGTTGTTCCCACTCTTCTCTTTCTTCTTCTTAGCGTCCTGGAAAACAAGCACGGCACGTTTACATGAGATGGCATGAAAAGAGGGGTCACTAAATATGTAAGGAGTTGGGTTTCGGGAAAAGCAATTTCTGACCGTCCCAACTTTCCCCAACGGAGACCAAACGCGTTCTAGACACCACCAGCGATAGGCGACGCCTACGTTAACAACGTTCACACAGCACACAACGTACGTGAAGGGACTATGTCAGAAAGGTACCGATGAATCAAGCACGCGACACGTGTGCCCGCACCCGACGTCAAAACAAACCAGGAAGGAGCGAATGTTTCGAAAAGTAAAGCACCGCTGCGTGCGTATGACCGAAAAAATATAAAAATAATAACTGGAGGGGTCGTGTGCTACTGGACTGAAATAGCACCCGACACATATGCCCGTTGAACCCGTTCCACCCCCTCCCCATAAAAAAAACGACCAGAGGACGGAGCAGAGGAGGGCAGACGGTCGTCTGGACGGAGCCGGTTTGTCGACCAACTACCACTACTGCAGACAAAAGATAAAAAAAAAAAACAAGACGGGGGGTGGGCTTTCGTTCTGTAACAACAGCACCCGGCAAGCAGGAATGCTAAACCCACCCCCCGCACCCGAACAAAAAAAACAGACCAGGGGATGGGACACTGGAGGGTAGACGGTCGTCTGGACGGGGCGGGTTTTATTGTTTTTTTAACCCAACATCCACCGCAGTAGAAAATCAATGCGTCCCCGACGAAGACCGCTACCAACAAAATACCAGTCGAAACACGGAGGTGGGCTTCTTGCGCAAATACTTCTAACGGGAATCGGAAAAGACCAAATCCTTCACCCGCCGTGGACAGTTGTCCGAAACTCACCCTCAACTCCGCACGCATGTCCGTCCACCAGCCTTTCACCTTCTCGCGGGCGCGAGCCTTGTCCAGCTCTCCCTTCCGTGACCCTTCCTTGAACGTCCATTCTTCCCTCCACCTGAAAACAATAGCGAGACATTCGAACGACGATTCCACAGAAGGCACTGCACCATCAGCCAAGAAACCAGCGCTCCCGTAATTGATAAAAGTGGCAAAAATTAAGAACTGGCAGCTGGTGCCTGCTGTTAACCTGCGAGGCCCATTTTCAAAGCAAGTCAAACAATATCTGCGTTCCGCGGGGGAAAGGAGAGAGAAACAGCCGCAACTCCCCGGGCACCTGCCCTTAAATGTAAAATAAGCGAACCAGCAGCACAACATGTATGTCTCAAATGTGCGACATACCAACGAAATCACAACACTCACTTTTTCGCTGGATCGTCATAGTCGAGCGATTGAAGCGCCTCCCACATCTTAGGCACTCCGGGTGCAGTGCTGCCGTCGTGTGATTTGGGGCTGCCAGCGCGTACCCCACCGAGCCTCAATTTTTGGTCTACGAAGTGGTCAACTATCTCATCCCAAACCCCGTCTGGATCGTTCACCCCAATGGCATGGTTGTCGCGCTTGTTTCGATCCGTGGGCGCCTGTTCGCTGGTGGTGACCTTCTCGTACATCTCGTCCGAGAACATGATGAAGCACAACCTTGCCGCATCCCCGCTGGAACGGCATCTCCTCCTGCGCCCTTCCTCCTCGGCAGCAAGCTTCGCCTTCGCTTCCTTCGCCGCCCTCTTCGCTTGCGGGGTGCCCTGCGGAGCTTGCTTCCAGTCAGGGTCGAGACCTTTGGATACACGCCACGCGTCCTGGGCCAGGAGAAGCCTTACAGCTTCTGGCTTCTTCACGCTCGAAATCGATGTGTTGATCTCGTCGACCCCATCACCGTACCGAAAGGCTCCCTTGTGGCCCGCTGCCTCCGCTCGCCTCTTCATCTCCGATTGACATGCCGGGAGCAACCAGTCGGCATAGTTCGGCTG